TCAACTTTAAGACATTTAAAAGCAACTGTTAATTCACTGTCTTTCCACTCGTATTTAAAAACCTTTCCAAAACCTCCAACGCCAATCACCATTGGGTTTGTAAATTCATTATATTCGAGATAATTAATATGCCCATCGGCAATTGCTTTTTCAAGCCATTCTTTTGGTGGGTTTTCCATAATTTTTGTATGTACTAATCTTGGTCGAAAATACGTACTTACGTACGTATGGTGTAAAAATTTAAAAATTTCAATCTCTCTATATAGATGATAATGCGTATTAACACATTGAAGATAATTATTTCTTAGAATTTTTCTATATGTATAAAAATGAGTGATGCACAGTTGTGCATCACTAAAATGGAATCAATGGACTGTATTTGCATGTAAAGGTTGGAACCGGTTGGAATTCAAAAACCGAATTGGATCGAGTTTAAACCGAATTTAAATCGATTTGCAATACAGTCAAACCTCCCTAAGTGCAATTCGTAGAAACCAAATTTTTGATACAATCAGACCTCTCTAAATACACCTTCCTAAATGCAAACTTTAGCTCTGGCCCAAATATATACTAAACTCCTATAAATGCAATTTTTCTTTATCGTTTTCTAAATACAAACTATCAAAAGGTTGGTCCCTACGAATTGCATTTAGGGAGGTTTGACTGTAATTTTTTTTAGCAACACATTATATTGTTATACTTAATCATAGTATAAGGAAACATATGAAACGACAAGTAATTCATTAGATTATTGGTGTGATTATTTTTCTGTTCCAACTACAAAAATTTGAAAAAAAAACAAGTTCCGGTAAACTGTAAATTTAAAACCCGAAGTTTGGTTTTTCCTTTATGCAAATTTGCTATTTAATCTTATGCATTTCAATCTGACGTAACTATCTTAAATCCACACAACGTATTCATTGTTAAATATCATATTACCATGGTTTTTTTTTATGTGTTAAACCTAGGTGCGCAAAGTGCAAAACCTCAGTCCTAGATTTCTTGTACTGTTTACAAAATTGTTTGGATGTTTGAAACTAAATGTACAAATTGCTTATAATTTCAAACTTAAGTTTTCGCTTCATTGTTTTGATTTTGAAAACTAGAAACTTTAAACTCGAAGTCACCATATGAGCGAGTTCTAGTTCTAATTATAATAAACATAGAATATACTCAGTCGTGTAGATATACTTAGTTATGTAGATATTATCATAAAGTTTACAATTTATTAAACAACGAATTTATGGTCTAATGAAAATGCTGAAATGTTTATTAATGTTGCGTATTTAGTGTATAATTAAAAAGATTATTTATTAAACTACCAGATAGGTTATTTTTTAGGGGTTTTGAATTCAATGGACTATAAATAACTTTCACAGAATTCACATCTACATTATCTACATTGAGAAACCCATATAGGGGTCACAGAATTCTCAGTAACTTTCTTGGAACCTACATCTACATTGAGAAATCCATGATACAGTTGAACGTTTGAACAATTTTTACTAAACGGGTTAACAAAAGATATAGAAGTATTATCCAAATCTTCCCATTCAATACTAATCTGACCAGAGTTACCTTTACTAACGCATGTGTCAACAGTACTATATAAATAAATTAGTAATATAATAGCATAATGCTAACTAAATATGAAAAGATTCTGCTTACCTAGAAAATAATTTCAATCTAAGTATGAGATCATTTACATTATTTTGGGCTTTATCATTAGGAGTAAATATACATGCAGAGTTTTTACATGTAGCAAAATGAGTACCAAAAATTAACCTTGATTTGTATGGATTATATGGATTATGTTGAATAGCTTGCGTGGTTAATTTATCTTTCTGGTTTGAGACACCATTTTTTCTGAAGCTTCAATTACACATGTATATAATATGCAGCTAGTTGAAAGCTCCTTACATTCATAACCTAGACTTTCAGTTACAAGGTGAGTTTCTTTTTTGAAACAGGTATTTACCACTTTTAAGTATTACATCTGTATTATCAAAATCGAAGTTTCCCGGATAGCCCACAATAATCCACCCAATTGAAATTTTTTGTTAACTTTTTTTCGTTTTTTTTTTTTCACTAGAATACAATGAACAAAAATTTCTGATGTATCTTTAGCTAAGTATTCTGCATGTATAGAAAATATGTTTCTATGTTTTTTGTTCATTATTAAAACAAAAATTTGACAATCATAAATATTAGTAATCATTTTCGAGCTTTTCAATTTTTTGAATACTTCATTTAGTTCAAAACGAGATAGATGTTCTTCATTAAGATTGCATACTATTGCAGTATTTGCTATATGCCCTGACTGAAATCGGGTGACTGCTATGATTTGGCCTAAAAATATCGATTTACATATAATCAACATAAATCGATATTTTTCACTGTCCTGACCTTGGGTAGTTCCCGCATTGTGCATAATTCCTAAACCCGAAATCTAAAGGCGTGATAGTTAGTATGTGACAAATAAGATTTCACATATTGTAAATAAAGAAGGATATGACGCGTGTGATAAATAATTACAGGTCATGTTACCGTAAATTTTTTGGTGATTGTCGCGTTGATTAGTTTTAATCATTCTACTCAAAAACTTCTATACTATTTACACAAAAGCGCAAATATGTCAGTTAAAATTAAGATCGCCTGAATACTATACAGAAACCTGAATACCTTAATGTGCAGTAACTACATTGTAACTATGGAACTATATAATTACTATTAAATTTAATAGTAACTATATAGTCACTATGCAGTTACTGTACATTAAGATATTCAAGTTTCTGTAACGTATTTCCAAAATAATGAAGATTGGAGCTTATTTGGTTACTTGGAATATCGCAAGACTCGGGAAGATTTTCGAGCAAATAAAGCAGATGAGCACTTTTATTTCAAAAATCTAAAGTATATAGCTGAAAGACACGAAAATAAGGAACATCACGAAAAAGCAAAGAGGTATATCGATGAATTTGATGTAAGTACAGTACAATAAACCAAATTATAGTAGGTAAGGTGAGTGGGTTCAAGTACTAAAGCACATTCGTTAAGTCGATTGTGCTAAAAAACCCGAATAACCAATAACTACGAGTGACTTGGAAATGGCTACGAGCTTTTCGGGTGTACTTGAATAGGGTACAGCCTATTGACATGTCGCGACAAATGAACACGGTTATTTGTTGTCAAGCTACGGGCATGGCATGTTCCGCTTAATCAGTTTATCACACAAATAACGCAGTATATTTTACATTAAATGATTAATCTCCGACGCATATTCTAACCTATTTTTTTTACTTTATTTCGACGAGCCTAATCAAAAGTATTCATCAATAAATTCATTTGGTTATCGATTTACCAGAATAACTATGAGGAAAGAATCGAACTTGTGAATTATTGGTTTATAACAAATAAATGTTTCAAAAACTGACTTAATATTATAAGTAGTTAAGACATGCCAAAAGTACAATACGTGCCATAAATAAAGAACAGAAGAAGTTCGTTTAGTTTCATCTTCTGATATTAAAACGTAAGAGACAGGATGGCATGAATTGTTTTGATAAAGGAGCTGACAAACGAAACCATTGCAAAACTCTGGAAATTAAGGTATTTGTGGCTTACTTATAACCCGTAAAAATGTCTTCTCACATATTGGAGGCATTTGTAGATACGAACCACTAATGGAACAGTAGTGGAAGAGTCCTCTTCTAATTCCCTTTCGGCCGAACTTCTTTCTATCATTAATTGTTCTAGTAAGATTTTTTCTATCACTTGATGCACAGCTCATATCCTT